TTATAAAACACCACTCAGATGGGATTAGTAACCACCCTACTCCAGTATAATTTAACTGATCACATCTTCAAAGACCCTATTTGCAAACAAGGTCACATTCAAGGTACCAGGGATTAGGACTTCAACATATCTTTTGGGGTGACACGGTATCAATCCATAACAACCTCTGCTTTGGATATAGGTCCTAGGAAAGGGGGTTGCCCATATGAAGCTGGTGGAATGTGACACAAGGTCCCCTAGTTCCTGATGGACAATCCACCCTGAAGTGCCAGCCCTGGCAGGTAGAGTTTCCCTTCCATGTCCCACAAGGGCTGTGTCTGGGAGTCTGCATTCCTGCTGTGACAACCTACCCTCCCTGAAGCAGGGTGGAGGCCTCAGATGGCCTCAAGGAGTATGCTCAGGGGAAGTGCAGCAATGAAAAGTAGCCCTTCAAAATAGCCCTTACCACAACTGCAATTTTTCTTCTCTAGACTGAATCACTTGGGACCGTTTGAACATCCAAATGGTCCTTGACTGCTCATCAAACAATGTTCCACTTTCCTGTGGCGCATTCAGGGTTCTCTGCAACTTGGTCCCATCTATTTCTGTTCGAAGAGTCCCTGGGTGGCACAAATAGTAAAACACTTGACTACTAATCAAAAGGTTGGCAGTTTGAATCCAGAGGCACCACAGAAGAAAGCCCTGGTAAATCTGCTTCCGAAAGCTCACCGCCTTGAAAACTGTATGGAGCACAGCTCTACTCTGCAACACATGCAGTTGTCATGAATCGGAATCAACTCAGCAGCAACTGTTTGGTTGTTTTGCTATTTTTGTTCAGCCTTCCCTTCCACTGGTGAATTTCCTAAACCCTCACTGCAATCCTGTAGTCTTTTCCAACCCTCCTCACACATACTACTCATCACCCTCCCCTGAGGATGTCTGCCCCCCTCCCCTCCATCACATTCCTGACCTTGCTGTTATTCCGTGTTCATTTTAAGTTTAATCTGCTGGTGAGCTCTCGTCTAGCCCCTCAGCCCTATGGACATGAACCCACCATTTGAGCTTACCATTCAGCCCTTTTTGCTGCCTTAGAACATCATTATGCATGCGTAAGTCCTATCTGTCTGAACCTGTAGTCACCTTGAAGTTGGTAACCCACAGCTCACTGGCTTTCACCTCCACTTAATCACGCAGAATTCCAGCACCGGCATAGACTCCTCCCAAAAAAACAGGCATTTCTGGGAGACCCTGGGGATGTCCTGCATGTGCTTGAGGTACCCTGTGCCACAGCACTAACCTGTCCCTGAGGGGGATGCCAGTGTGGGGCACAGCCAGGTGGCTGGCATCTCGGTCCCATGCACTTCTCTCCCGAAGTTGCACCATGGTCTATGGCAAAATGGGATGAAGGTGGGGTAGTGCTTGCTTCTTCTTTGAGCTCCATTCCACTAGAGAAATACAATTACTGTGCCCCCACTATATCTCCAAGTCGTATTTGAAATAACTCTTACAGTTTTTACTTACAGCAACGCTTTCATGCTATCTTTTGTTCTGACCTTGCCCTGCAGAGAAGCATCTGTCAGGTTAAGATTTGGGCACTAAAAAAACCAGTTGCTGTCAAGTTGACCACGACTCATGGAGACCCCGTGTATGTCAGAGTAGAACTGTGCTCCACAGGTTTTCAATGGTTGATTTTTCAGAAGTAGATTACCAGGCCTTTCCTCCAAGGTGCCTCTGGGTGGACTCAAACCACCAATCTTTCTGTTAGTAGCCAAGCACATTAACCATTCACACCACTCAGAGACTCTGAGTTGGACACTAGCCCCCTTCCCTAACCCTTGGCTAGTGGAGATTCCAGTCCAGTCTCTGTCTCTCTCTCTGTGATGGGGAGGGGAGAGGGTCTAGTAGGGATGGCCATCCTGACTCTCTGGAGTCCCAGCTCTGCCCACCCAGAGATTTCAGGCAGCCAGCCAAGCATTTTCTCCCTGCTCTCAGCCTCTGCAGCTGCAGTCTCTATGAAGCTTCCAGATAACTTTCCTTTCCTAAGACCCCTGGAAGGAAATCTTCAATGGAAATTCAACTCAGGAGTTTCCTCACAGAGGCAGGATGTGACGAGGAGCCTTCCTGGTTTTGTTCTTTCTATCTTGGTTTCTATACCAAAGGGCAGAACACATAGCGTGTGTCTTAAGGTAGAAGGTGGATGAGTAATTCTGTCACAGATGGGCTGGCCCTCTGAACTCAGGGGCTGGTCCATGTCTAGGGGATTTTAGCATCTTGGACTGAGACACTTTACAACAATCATTTCCCTTTGCAGGGGGGATTTGAGATTGCCCAGGACTCATCTGCCATTTTGGGCACTTTGCTGCTACCTATCAGGTAAGTAGCTCATTCTCAACACCTGTCTACATCTCCACTTTTCAGAAATGGAAAAGAGAAAATTATGGGGAGAGGCTTTGGGGACAGCATGAGTTGGAACCATCTTACTAGCTGAGCCTAGCTGCAGGATGGGGTTTTGAGTGTGGCCTGGAGGAGATGCCTGTTCAGGCAGCTCACAGCTGAGGAGGCAGGATCTAACCGTCCCATTTCACCATTAGACGAAAAGGGTTTTAAGTCTTACTGAGGCTGCTCTCTTGGGACTAAGGACAGAAATCCTCTTGTGGACCTATTGAAATCAAACTAAAGCAGGCTAGTGCACATTAATTGCCTGCTTGTGGAGTGCAAGGCATTGCAGTGGGCCTTGGGAGGGAGCAGTGGGGAAGAATGGGAAAATCCTACGCCTTGTTATTGTTGTTAGTTGCTGTGAGGTCGATTCTAACTCATGGTGAGCCCATGTGTGCAGAGTACAACTACTCCATAGGGTTTTCAAGGCTGTGACCTTTCAGAAGCAGATCACTAGGACTGTCTTCCTAGGTGCCTCTGGGTGGATTTGAACCACTAACTTTTCTTCGAGTAGTGGAGCGCTTAGGGAATGGAAGGAGGGCAAAACACACCACCATTACACAGCCTGGGCTTACAAAAGTAGCAAAAGCAAAACATAATAATCTTTAAAGAGAGATTCAAGAGCTCAGTAACTGGAAATCCAGACAGTATAAGGTGTTGCTTAAGAAATGAAGGTTCTGGAGGAGAGAAACTGGAATAGGGCCGGAACTGGGCAGTGAGAAAATGAGAAGGAAATAAAAGAAAGTAAAGTAGGGAGAAGGAGGCCTGGTGGTGCAGTGGCTAGGTGCTCAGCTGCTAACAGCAACTGCAGTTTGAAGCTACCAGCCATTCTACAGGAGAAAGACGTAGCAGGCTGCTTCCATAAAGATTACAGCCTCGGAAACCCTTTACCAAAAAAAAAAAAAAAACAAACCAAACCTCTTGCTATCAAGTCGATTCCCACTCATAGCGACCCTACAGGACAGAGTAGAACTGCCCACAGGACTTCCAAGGAGCAGCTGGTGGATTCAAACTGCCAACCTTTTGGTTACCTGACAAGCTCTTAATCATTGTGCCACCAGGGCTCCAGAAACCCTTTGGGGTAGTTCTATTCTGTCCTATAGGGTCAGTGTGAGTCAGGAATTGACTCCAAGGCAATGAGTCAATTTTTTTTTGTTGTTGTTGGGTGGGGCGGAGAAAGTAAGGAAGGAGAAAAATTGTCTCCCCTGGTAAAGGATGGGGGCATTTCTTCTGCATCAGTATGCAGGACAAATGTCTCAGGAGAGAATATCCCAGAGGCTCCAGGAGAACTCCAGGGAAAATGTATCCCACCAGAGAAGCTTAGCTCAAGCCTGAGGCCTCCCTTTCTGCTCCACCCTTCCCCTCACTGGGTTCCCCATCTTCCCCAAATATCCAGTGTATCCAGCCTCTCACCCTTTCCTCTAGCAAAATCTCACCTGGAACAGAACTGAAATCCATTCCCACTGTGGCATGAATAGCTGAAGTCTTAAAGCGTTTCCCTTCGCAGTAATAAGTGTACTTCAAGAAGGAGCAGAGCCTTTAAACTGGTGAGATAAACTCGTAAAGGGCAAACTTCAGCCAGCAAGTGGGGAGAAGGATCCATTTAGAGAACAAAGAGGCATTCTGCTGTCTGAAATCACCAACTTTTCCCTCAGGAAATTGCCAGACCCCTTCCCTCAGATTGAAGGATTTTAAGACAATGTCCTTGAGTGTTGGCACCAAGGGATCACAGTGCATCATGTACTTTCTGTCTAAAGCTTCAGTTGGCAAAGCTGTAGGAAGACTCCAGTTTTAATTTATCTAGCAATGGGATTTTTGCTTTTTTATTCATTGGTTGGTTGGTTGGTTTTCTGGCTGACATCCTTGAGATCCATGCCACTTCTTCAGTCCATTTCTAAGATGGCTAATCAGGCTATGGGTTATAGCCAGAGAAGCTCACGAGGCTCCACAACATGGTCACAGTTTTGGGTAACAGGAGTGACTGAAGGGTGAACCTAGACTTGACACAGGAAAAGGCTGGTGAGAAATCTGTATCCAGAGAACTAGCAGAGCACAGGCTCTGAGACCAGACAGCTTGGCTAGGATGCCAACTCCACCACTTATTAGCTGTGTATCTTGTGTATTCCTTTGTTTTGTGGACCTGGTGTTCCAGGGCAAAGGGAAGTGGGAGAAAAGTTAAGTAGCTAGTGTTAGGGCCAGGAGAAAAAAATGCATCTGAGATTTCCCATGATTTCCCTTTGTTTGGGGAAAGTCACTAAACCTAGAGGAGTGTGGCACTGCAGCCCCACCCTCCCGTAATGCGAGTCTATTCCTGGCTCTAAATAATACTCAGTTCAGAGCTGCTTCCTGTGGGAGCCTTTGGTCCTGTCCCCTCAAAGCTCCATGAGCCTGAGCAAGGCCCGTGAAGCTATTAACAGTGCTGCCTGGTAAAATTAGAAGCAGCTCTCACAGCTGGCCTTGGCATTGGGGCTGATAAGGAACTCAAGAGCCAGACAAAAAATAGTTGAGGCAAGGACAGACCTCTGGTCTGATGGCCAACGTTCCAATTCCTCAGAGCCACTTAGCATTTCTTTGTTCCCCTCCAGGTGGCCACCACTGCTGGCAGGAGATGGAGAATTTCCCAGTCTCCCTGGACTCTTGGTATCGAGTACCTCTGCCTAGCAGTCTCTTCTTCCTCATCCACCTCCTTCTCTTCCCACCTGGGAAGCTGAGTTCAGGTAGTGTGTCTGGTCTGCACCCTGTCCTGTCAAGACATGAGCACCTCAGCTTCTGTCCGTCTCTTCTTCCCCCAGATGCAGCCCCAGGCAGAGATCTTATAAACTAGTACCAGGCTGTACCAGTGGCTAAAATACACAAAAATTTCCATCCCAGTTGTTAAATTGCCACTTCCTCTGAGCATCATCTAGCCCCTTTAGTGCTCCACCACCATTTCTCCAGCCACCAGTATCATTTACATACTTCCCCAGGATCCCTCAGTTAACAGGCATCCAAGGAGGCACAGCAGGAAGGTGCCAGGAGACTCTCACTGGTCTGTACTTGTGCTGAGCCAGTTGGTAAATATGTTTCACTCCACCCCTGCGTATAGGCACAACTTTTGAGGAGCAGGAAGGACTTCAGTCCTACCATCTCTCCTGAAAGAAGCAGCTAACAGAAGTTATAATTATGCAAATGTTATTCCCTAATCCCCTGGTCTGGAAACCAGGGACTCTTGGGTGACTGAGGCACAGCCCAGGTCCTCAAGCAGCTTGTAGTCAAGGTAGGAGGCTGGACATGACCTAAGCAGCTATCCAGCTGTGTGACCAAGGCTGCTAGAGAACCGTATCCAAAGACTTGGGGAACACAGCTAAGAGAGCAATTTGCCTTTCTCCTGGAAAGCTAAGAAAAGCCACAGAGAGGAGCTGCTGTTCAAGCCGAGCCTGGCAGAATGTATATTCTCCAGGAAGATGACAGGTGGAGGGTAAACTGAGTCAGGGTGTGTCCATGTAAAGGGTCAGGCATCAGGTGTGTAGGGAGAAACAGCTAGAGAGAATCTGGACAGTGAAGCTGGTAGGAAGGGTGTTGGAGCTTCACTCAGTGGAGAGCAAGGTGACGTGAACAGAAAAAGTTACCTCTATGTTCTGTGAGCAAAGTGAATGATGGTGAGGGATCCATGGAGGGAGAGTTTTGGGGATGGGATTTTAGCTGAACTTGGAAGGAAGGAAAGGAGATGCATGGAGGTCAGACAGAAGAAAGTAAGGGTATGCTGAGTGGCAGAGAACAGCTTATGCAAAGGAACAGCAGCAGGCACAGGCAACTCTCATGAAATTGCAGAAAACAGATTAGCTTGGGAGGAGCAGAGGGGCCACATGGAGACATCACTGATGAGGAGGACAATCAAATGAAACCTCATGATAAACAGAAGTCTTGAAAGCAAGATTTGCTCTTAGATAGGAAAAACCATGAAGCAGGGAGCTCTCATAGATTATTTTTAATACCTTTTGTTATTACAGAAGCTGTAAGTGAACATTAAAAAAAATTAGATTCCCCAGGTGATCTTGTTAAAACGTTGATTCTGATTCAGTGTATCTGGGTGGAAATGCAAATTCTCAGCAGGGGGGTCGAACCAGAAAGAACCACACTGGTTCAAAACAGTAACCAGCCCAGCACTACCTAGTGTATCTGGTTGTAACATCCTTTGTGTGTTTTTTAATCTAGCACACTCAATTTTTGAAATAACAATTACTGGTTCAAGAAACTAGGCCAATTGTCCCATAGAATGTCCCACCTTTGTCGTCTGAACGGTTTACTGGAAGAGGGGTGTGATGAAAAATCATATTGATGAGGGCTGATTTTGGCAGTTGTTATGGCTTCCCGTTCCTAGAGGAAGTCAAGGTGGTAGGCCCTGGGGAATCCATCCTGGCCCACATCGGGGAAGAGATAGAGTTCTCGTGTCACCTGTGGCCAGACCTGGACGCCGAGCACATGGAGATCCTCTGGTTCCGGAGCCAGACCTCTGACGTGGTCCACCTGTACCAGACGGGGCAGGAGCTCTCAGGCCAGCAGATGGTGGAGTTCCGGAACAGGACCAAACTTATCAAGGATGGGATTAGAGATGGCCACGTGATCCTGCTGCTCCACAGCATCGTCCCCTCTGATGAGGGCCCCTATGGATGCCGCTTCCGCTCCAGTGATTTCACTGCCGAAGCTCTCTGGGAGCTGGAGGTAGCAGGTGGGTGACCTGGCCATGCCCCAGCAGTGCAGAAGGAGAAAGGATCAATTTGGATAGAGCTGCATTGCTTGAGTAGGTATAGAATCACAGAGAAAGGGAGAATATCCCTAAAAACAAACAAACAAACAAACAAAAAAACACATACTATTAATAAACTGAGGGAAAGCTCCATTAGAAAATGGGCAAGATATATGAACAGTCCACAAAAACATACACAAATGGCTCTTAAACTAGGAAAAAATGATCACTTTTACTCATAATGAGAGAAACGCAAATTAAAGATACACTAATATACAATATTTTACCTATCAGATTGGCAAAAATTCAAAAGTTGGACCATCCACTCTGTTGGCAGGGCTATAGAGAAGCAGGTCCTTTCATACCGTGTTGGTGGATTTCAAAATCATGACGATCCAGTGGAGGGAATTTGGCAATAGTTAATAGAACTACCTGTGCATCTACCTTTAGAACAGCAATCCCATCTCTAGGAATTTACCCTGAAGATTCACCTCCAACAATATGGAAAGAAAAGCACATGTGTAAGTTTAATCCTTGTAGCATTGTTTGTAATTACAAAATACTGGACACAGCCTATATGCCCAAGCTTAGGAGCCAAGTATGGCACACCCATACAATGGAGTATTATGCAGTTAAAAAGAAAAACAAAAAAATGAGGAGAAGCTCTACAAACTGTTGTGGAGTGATTTCTAGACTATATTGTTAAGAGAAAAAAGCAAGATGTAAAAGAAGTTCTATAGAATGTAAACTTTTGTGTAAGAAAGGAGAGCCATTGCAAAAAGAAACACAGGAAGGATAAGCCAGAAACTAAAGAAATTGGTTACCCAAGGGTGGTGGAATGGGATGGAAGGGATGGAGAAGAACGCGGAGCTTTCTTGAGTATATATTTTATACAGTGTTGATATTTGAACCATATTACTATTTTACCTGTTTAAAAAATGAAGCTAACTCCACAAGGATGTGGAGATAAAAGAGAACAGATAGCCTAAGGAATGAGCTTTGGAGGGATCCAAGAGACAAGACATTCTACTAGAATTTGGGGTGGGGCAATTCTTCATTCTGGGAGGACTGTCCCTTGCATATCAGGACTAAAGTCCAGTAGCACGTCCCTTCCAAATGCCCCACTTTATATTTCTAAATGTCCCTCAGGGGTAGTACTGCCCCCACATGCCACCACTGATCTTGACTGTCATTTACAGTCCATGGGTGGGGGCTGCCAGCCAGTGAGTACAAATGGTGAGTGGTGGCATGGGCTTCATGCACAACTTTTGGGAAGGAACCTAGCCTTTCCCACTCCCCCTGTCTCTCCCAGGGATGGGCTCGGACCCTCACATCTCCCTTGAGGGCTTCAAGGAAGGAGGCATTCACCTGAGGTGCAGCTCCAGTGGCTGGTACCCCAAGCCCATGGCTCAATGGAAAGGCCATCAGGGACAGTGCCTGCCTCCTGAGTCTGAAGCCATCATACAGGATGCTCGGGGCCTGTTCAGTCTGGAAACATCCGTGCTCCTTCAAGGGGGAGCCCAGAGCAACGTGTCCTGCTCCATCCAGAACACCCTCCTGGTCCAGAAGAAAGAGTTTGTGGTCCAGATAGCAGGTCAGTGGTTGCCAGGTCACCCTCATCTTCCTAGTTATCATGTTCTCCAGATCCATTGTCCCAAAGCCTATCCATAAGGACACAATGGACTGTATGCATGTGGGCTGGGCTGAACTTCACACCTGAAAAAGTTAGCAACTAAGTCTACTAAGAGCACAACTGACAAGCCACACAGTAAGGGTGGGGGAGGGGAATGAGGCCCAAAATTTATGTAACAAAGGCCACGCACTAAATCCCATAGTCTCTTCTCATTAGAAGTCATCATGAGAGACTAACCAGCCAGTTGCCGTTAAATCAACTCTGGCTTATGGTGACCCCATATGTGTCAGAGTAGAACTGTGCTCCACAGGCTTTTCAATGGCTGATTTTACCAAGTAGATCACTAGGCCTTTCTTACAGCTGAGCATGTAAACCATATGTACCACCCAGGGACTCCCCATGAGCACCTACTTGTTCCTAATTTCATCCCTTTAGCAGTGTTTATTGAGCACCTACAATGTGCCCAAAACCTCTGTCCTCAGGTTCAAATTCTAGTGGAGGAACAGAAGAGATGAGTAAATTGCATCATACTTTAGAGGGTTTCAGGTGCCCTGGAGAAAAACGAAGCAAGGAAGGGTGCTAGGGAGTGGCAGGACGTGCACATGGACTTAAAAAAGATGGATCAGGGAAGAGTTTTAGGTGAGGCCATTATCTACTACCAAAGTCTTGTACAAGGCACTCAGAAGGGTGCAGACTGAACTTCCAGTGTTTAATGCACATGGTTCTAATTGTTCTTTTTTTCCAGATTTTTTTAATATTTAAATTTTTTTTATTGTATTTTAGGTGAAGGTTTACAGAACAAATAGTTTCTCATTAAACAGTCGGTACACATACTGTTTCATGACATTGGTTAACAACCCCACGACATGTCGACCCTCTCCCTTCTCGACCTTTTTTTT